ATCAGGATTTACGATGCTGATTATGCCTTCTTTTAAATAATCACAAATAATTTCACGGTATTGTTGATGTAACTCAGGATTATGACTAAATCTTCTCCACAAATTCTGAAAACGCTGCCGCGCCAAGGAATAATTATCAGATAATTCTTCATAATGTTTCCTAAAAGGTAATTGTACTACATAACGTCCATTTTTAAATTCAACGGTGTCATTAAAAATTTCCATTTGCCTGATCCTTTTCATGCAAAACTGGATCATCACGAATACCAAGTCCCTCTAAATCAAAGAAAAAGTTTTAAAGTATTTTGAAGAGAGTCATTTTGCACAAGAAAACAATGTCCCTGATAAGAAGGTTGTATTTCGTTAAGCTTCCCGCATGCGATCCATCCGAATTCAGACTCTTTTAAACAATAAATCATCATTTATTTTATACGTATTATTTTTCAAAACCTTAAAAAAATAAATCAGCACTTATAAGGGCATGTACCTCTGAAGCTTCATAAAATGATTTGTCAGCTAAATTTAAAAATTGTGGAATTTCTACTTTCGAAATATCTAACGTAGTACACGGAGTTAGTCCTGTTATCTTATTTACAATCAAGAATTCAACTGGTTCATTAAAGGTACATTCTTCATTTGAAATAAATGTATTCACTTTCCATTTAATATTTTGAATTGATCCATTAAGACCTGTAACAGGCATTTTTCAATTTTCTGCCTTTTTATTCCTAAGCATTCACTTATTTTATCTGTAAGAACACGCATATATTAGATGCGCTGTCTAAAATCGCACGGATTTTTATTCTTCGATTATTGGCGTCCACGGACATAAATCTCTGCAGTAGAAAAAAGTACACTTTTTCTTTTTTGTTTATTCTTGTTACTTAAAACACTCAACGCTTTCAATTCTGAGTCACCTTTTCCAGCGGCGGCATCGAGCTCACTTTTTATTTTGTCTAAGTGGCGTCACCGAAGCGACAAGGAGTCTTTTGAATGACCTTCATTATCCATGCATATTAATTTATTGTGTTTTTCCCCGCAAGCGCATTTAAATTTCGAGAGACACTGACTTTTCTTATGATTTTGCTTTAGACATAATTCGCAGAGTTTATGTGAACGAATTAATTTTAATCTTTCATGAACACTTAACTTTAAGAATGCATCGCAAAGGAAAATAGGATGATAGCTCCTACACACAACACAGTTTTTATTTTTATTTTCATTTGTCAAAAGAACCTTCGATTTATGGGAAGGAGTGGAATTCTTGTTTATATTAACCCTACTTCCGGGTGTAATATTTCTATTTATAGATAAAAATTTGATTCACGCTGTTCCAAAAATCTAATAAACTCGTCAAATGTTGGAACTACTTTCGATTTGTGAGATAATTCAAAATTTTTTCTAGATTCTTTATCTAGTTTTTGAAGAAGAAAAATATTTATTAGAAAAATATCAACATAACTTGTTCTGTTCATATTTTAAATACTTTCAAAGTGCGTAAATTCTTTTGTATACAATCAATCATACTTCTGATATCTTTCGCATTTTCGGATTGAATCTTTTCAAAATTTTAAAATATTCTGCACATGAATGTCAACAATCAGACGTTCATTATCATAGCGAGATTCTAAAGCATTGTACAAAGATTCAAAATTATCAAAGTTACTACCTAAATGCTTAGCATCATTAGTAAGACAAGATCTTAGATAATACAATTTCTGTGAATGACTCAGCTGAACATTATTTGTAATTAAATCATCAAATTGAGTTTTAAATGAACTAAATTCTTCATATTTTCCTGAAAATTCAGGCAAAACTAACGCTGGGATTTTAGTTTTGATTTGAAAGTTTTCATCTACATTACTTTCAGTAACATTTACTGCTTTTGCAGAACTTAACTTATTGTAAGAATTAATGAGAATTTCAATTCTTACCTCCAATTTTTCCAGACGATCATCACATTGGTTTAAGTCGTCATCAATTTTGGTCAGATCATCATCTTTCATTTCACTTTGTGCGTAGCACGCACTTCGTAGTTCATCAACTTTCATTTGAAGAGCTTGAATGTTTTTTAGTTTAACTTTAAGTTCAACTAAGTCCACATCATTACTTGCAGTTTGCACAAAAGTTTCGAATCTAGTTATTTTCCCCTTTAGGGATGCTTTGCGTTTCATTAATATATTCATACCGCTGAAGTAGGCTCCAGGGTCGACGGAGCCAGATGATTAAACTTATTTTTCTTAAAGGTTATTTTTTATCGACGGACCAGCTTCACTGCTTCGTTTTTAATTATTTTATTTAGAAAAACATCATATACAAATATTTACAGTGAAGCAAAATACAATTTAATTGTGAGCTTCGGTTACAAGTAATTGCTCACGTCAGACCAGTTAGATTTCTTCTTCAAGTCTGCTGCCTCAATCGTAGGAGGCAATGATTTGGCGAGATTCGTTGGCGTAAAAATGCGCCAACAGCATATAAGACGCACCCTTATTTAGACGGCCACTTACAAGGAAAAAAAGTTTCAATAGCGTGGTTTCTTTTAGTTCTCATGTTTCGTAAAAGCCAAATAAACTATTATTGAATGCAATTACCTTCACGTATAAGACGCAGGTAACTTTTTTGAGACCAAATTTAGGAAAAAAAGTGCATCTTATATGCCATCAAATATGGTATATGTAATGAAACTGTGGTTCGATGGCACGACATGAATGGTTTGATCTTGAATGCGGTACAAACTTCCATTAAAATTTTCAGTGAAACAGGACTTTTTCCATGATGGGAACATAGCTTAACAAACTCTAGTAGATTTTTTCATAATTAGAACTGGCCACTAAATGAAATATTAGCACAATTTTGGAAGCATTGAATGCAAGAACATTGAGATGTAGATGCACAGGAATGATTGCGTAGACACTTGAAGCTTAGAGCGTCCATCCATTACAAAGAATAAGCAGTCGATCTGAATTAAATTCCGTAGTTATTTAAATTCACATTTTGTGGCCACAATTCACTTGGCACTCCAATTGTGCCTACTTCCAGAAGATTTCAAATTTTTATTTTATTGCTATAGAAACAAATATAGCAGCACATACATGATCGCAGCAAAGCTTCTGGCCATGAAGAAAGCACAAGCAAAAGTGGCGCATCAGTTCATAGAAAGAATGGAGGGAGTCAAAAGTTTCAGTTTTTAGTTTTGGTTTACAATTTGGTGATTGGTCAAGAAGCATCTGCATTAAGGGTTATATAAGATCACATGATTAATTTTTAATAACACAGTTTAGACTTACAGCACTATTTTTAGGACAGATAGATGGAGTCCCCAAATTAAATAAAACTAAGAGGTTATACACAATTAAATTTAGAAGTTTGCGTTCATATTTTTTATCTTACACATATATATATATATCTAATGGGATACAAATTAGATGTTCACAATATTCACATTAAAACTAAAAATACATATATACATATAAATGAATAATTAAATACAAGTAGCACAAAGAAGACAGCATAATAATAATAAAAAAAATCTGTAAGGTTTTGGATTTTAATGGTCTCCCAAAAGGATTTGTTAAAGCATTTACACTTTCACTGAGCTAACAGTCTACCAATCTCCTGTTGCACTTACTCCTACTAACAAATTTATTTATTTATTTATTTGGGTCTTTTAGCTTTATAATTAAGCATCATTTTCTTTGCACTTACCACATATAAAATTCAATGACAAAATCACAAAAATTTTAAAAGCAGCATACGCTTAGAATTCCCAATGCAATGCTAAGTGATGGCACGCATTTAAAAAATTTTTTTCTTAGTCTTTTCTCTTCATTATATCAATGTTCAGTTTTTTTTTAGTAAGATGGCTTACAAAACTTTTTTTTTTGGGGGGAGGGCTTTTTACTATTAACTTTATTTATTAAATATCATGCTCTTCGTACTTGCGCCATATAAAATTCTGTTCAACAGCAAAATTACAAAATGTTTAAAAACAGCATATCTTTAGAACTTCCAATAGACAGTCTCCCCCACCAGAGATAAAAATGTTTTATTCTGTAGCCACAGCTTGCTTTCAAATCATTGAGTTTGTACATTAAAAATTTATTAGCTTTACAAAATATGACACAAATAATAAAACATATAATATCATTCTATGAAAATACTGAATATTTTTAATGAGACAGATCATGAATTAAATGCATTTTTATTATTTAAATCAATTTGATTCAAAAGTAAGAAATGAATATTTTTAAGAACTGCAACTATTGCTTTCATATAACTTAGTTTGTTAATCCACAATAGAATATCTAGTTTGAAAGATATTTAAATTTTGCGGAATGGCAACAGACTCGAATGTAAGTGAAATAACACATTTATAGTGATTTGACACAAAATCTTATTTTGAGAGTAATAGCCCCTTCTGGACTCACAAGAGAATGCATTAGAGAATTTGAGCAATTCTAAATCAATATTTAGGTTTATTATTACTATCTATGATTTTACTGTGTTGTAATATTTAGAATTCGTAGAATTCATCACTCTTTTAATAGATAATACCTGCATACCAACATCATAAAAAAACATTGATATGCAAGTAACATCTTTAAAAGAGTTTTAAAGGTATCAAAGAGTGTTGAGAAAGAAAAGCCGGAATTTGATTCATGGGTTTGCATTTACCTGAAGAAAAGTGCTTTGAAGAGAAAAGTCATTCCAAAATCATGAAACACTTTATTGAAGCACATGAAATACACACAAGGGCAAACATAAAATCCAGTATGTTCCTTCATGTTTCAAACTAAAGACCAAATCTGATTCTCATACGTTCTAGAAGTTGATTTCACTACCCCAGATTTATTTCATTTCAGCTTGCAACAAAGAGAATAACTTAATTCATTACCATTATTCAGAAAACAATGCTTAGCAGTGTAAGATCAGAATATACATATTCAAAGAAATACAATTATATATTTATTTCTACAATATAAAGTGAAAAAACTAACCTTGTTCTTGCTGAATCCATATCCAACACCAATTTTCCCAACTGCTTGCGCAATTTATTAATGTTATGTATTTCATTCTGAAAAGTGTATTAAATGAAAATTAAATTAACAAAAAATTTTACGTATAATGCATTATAACAAGAATATTCTTTTCAGTTCTTTAATTTTGTAATATCAGAATGATACAGGAATGAAACAATAAAAATTATTAAAAACAATTTTTGGTACTGTCTGATTCTGCCCCCGCCCCAAAGTTAACAACTTTGTGAATCAGCAAAAAACTTTCGCTTGGTTATCTTTATCGCTCAGAGAGGTACTATTCTACTTACAAATAATAATAAAAGAAGTATTTCATAAGAAATAAAGAACTTTATGAGAAAATATAAAAATCTATATGACCAATATTTACATTTTTACAGAGGATGGATACTGTTATCAAAATGATGGTTAAATATAAAGCATGTAAGTTCACATATACTCAAACACATATGTGGCATCCACATGCGTGAATGCACAGTTCTTGGGGAAAACAATTTAAAAATTTATTTTAGTTTTGTTAAGTGTTTTTTAATGTAGTTTTCGATGCTGATTTCAAATGTTTTTTTCCCTATCACGTAAGGTTTGTGTGCAAAATAAGGTGACTTTTATGGAAAATGAACAATTAAAAAAAATATTATACTTTTTTTTTTACTTTTTAAAATTACATAAAAAACACATAAAGGTTTACTAAAACTTGCAAGGAAATGACAAAGATGTACTACAATATAATTATAAGTCTTTGTAGAAATGGTGTCGTTTTCCATCAAAACTTCTTTTGGTACCTTCTTTCCTGTTGGGAACTTGAGAATTTTCTTAATTTCCAATAACAGTCTGCCACTATGTTAACATCCCACTGTCCTTAATATCTTTGTTCCATTTTTTTTTTCATGTCTTGATGAAAACTTTCTCCTTGCTCTCAACTCACAGCTCCAAGATTTTCAGGAAAATAGTCAAGGTGTGAGTGAAGGAAATGAACTTTTATCCTCATGTTACAACCCAACTGTTTGCAGTTTTCCAGTAAATCAGGAAATCTTGTAGTTTGGATCTTCTTTGTTGCCAAGAAAGCTGATTACTACTGGTTTAAAAAGACGTCCATGCTTTCTTTCCCATGTTTTCCATTTTTGACTCAAAAGTTTTCTTATGTCAGGCTCAATAAATACACCTTCTTTAAGCTCTTAAACTTCTTAAGCCAAAAAAAAGTGTTTACAAAGATATCAGAAGTACTCTTTTTCTTTACATAATACTTTGACAAACTGTTTCATGAGAACCAACTTGATGTAAAGTTGTGGAAGTTTTAGGAACAACTAAACTTTTCTTCTAAACATTCTTAACTTCAGGAATAAGGGCTTTTCTTATTGGACATTCTTTTTTAATATAACACTGTTTTCTATTACGACTATGCCATTCACAAAGTAAGCATGGGAACTTTGTGTAGTCATTCTGGCCTAGAAACATTAAAGCACTTTCAAATCACCACAAGTCATCCACTTATGATCGCAGTAACCAAGCTTGCTGAGGACCAATCAAGACTTTCACAGCATTCTTTTAAATGATCAGAATGTTTGAAAGTCTATTCAAAAGATTCAAAAGCATACTGGTTGCCATTATGAAAGACTGCTTTTAGATTAATCAAGAGTCGGTCTCCAGTGTTCTGTTTTGTATTTGATACTGAAATTTCCCATCACTTCAGGAATATTGTGCAAAGAACTAGGTCACTCACTTGAAAAAAAGGCACCAGTTCTTTTTTCTCTATACCAGTACCACAAAAATGATGTATCAGGAGCCAACAGCTACATTTCTTTTAACCCTGACCCTAAAACCTCTGCTGAATTCTTTCTAAGGCCAGGGTCTGTTACTAAATTGTTAAATTCAGACCGAAGCAAAAGATTAGGCTCATTACTGTCTGGATTACGACAGTCCTTGCTGTTATCATCACCCATCACGTGACAATGAATCTGTTGTCTAAAATATTTTCCAATGTATCTGGTGAGGTAGGGACTAAATTCATGAGGAACAGGGTGAATAGCTGAAGGGATGTTGGGATATGAAATCTCCTTTTTATTTTTTAAATTAAAAGCCTGCATATAGCATGACCAAAAATAACAATTATCACTATGGTTTTTAGGTTCTCTCTAAATCATACTTATTTCAAAACGAAATGATTTCTTCTTACTTTTAAACCGCTGTTACACACATGGACCACACTTTGTAAGGAGCCCAAAATTTATCTTGATCTTCTAATTTTACACGAAAGCAAATAATTTTTTTTTTTTTTTTAAATTTTTTATTTATTTATTTTTTTTTTTTTTACAAAATCAAAAATGTTTTTTTTGTTGCTTTCTAACTGCATAAGTCCCACAAATGTAGCAGAAACAATCTAGATAATTAACACATACTCTAGAAACCATTTCTTTTGAAACAAAAAACAAAAAATCAAATCTGAAAGGTATTACTTCCCAAAACAAGTTAAGTGTATAAAATACAGTTGTTGGATCCAAATGATGGATGGCCTTGCCTAGTATGAACCAGATTTTATCAGTTTTGATGTACCGTCTGTTCAATAAAGAAAGGCTAAGTCATGTTGCCATCTTAAATTTACACTGGTAGCTTTGTCATGCTAATTTGTGAGGATAAAGATTTAATAAATTTAATATTATAAAGATTTTAAATACTAAAAAACATAGTTTATATGTAAATCAGAAAAGCTTCAAAAATGCAAACTTAATGTGTGATTCATAGGTAAACTAAAGATGATGGATATTTTTCATAATCAGCAGAAAATATACAGCAGGGATGACTGAGAAAATTTGAAACAATTTTTTTCACTGCAGACCTGTGTTGGTTAATATTGCATATATATTCTCAAATATGCCGAAAACATGCAAAGCTATCATACGCTGAAATTGGGGGGTGCGGATAATCAGAGCGAGTGAGATTTTTTGGCGCAAAACCAAAAATGGTTATAATGCGCTGCCAAACATGAGGTAGATGAAATCATGAATGAATGGTGCTTTAAAATTGCTTACCAAATCCAGAGGATGAAGTCATATAAAAACATGGTAAAAGCACACATTAAAATACAATACACAATCTTCAAAACAGATTACATTAGATAATAAAAGCCAGTCTCTTTTAAAAAATAAAATAAATTACAATTAACCTTTCTTCCGATTAAAGGATCGAGAGGTAAGTCACAGCTATTAAAATATTTCTGACAAAGATTAAAAAAACTTGGACACTCTATTAAAATATGACAGACAGATGCACAGCCATTACAATTTAAACGAATAGGCTCACTCCTTTCGATTTCTATTAAAATCCCAACGCTCAATTTTAGGCTTTACACTTCTCAGCTTGTTGTCAACTTGATCATCCCAAAGTTGCTGCCGTTTTTTTTGGATCTTTTCTTTGATGACATAACAAATATCTCTGAAAGGGATAAGGCGATGGGACAGTTCAACAGCAGATTTCGCTGTGACATCCGCCAGCTCATTTCCCTTTATTCCTGCATGTCCGGGAACCCAACAGTAGAGGATTTCATATCCACGACTCGTTAAGTTTATATGTATCTTCAGAACATCCACTATTACAGCATTCTGAGTGTCGGTAAAAGTTTCTAACGCTTTTAGCGCACTATACGAGTCTGTATACAGTATGAATTTCTTGTGGCAGAGCTTTGAGATGTACAAAAGACCATAATAGATTGCAGTTAATTCAGATGTTAAGACCGAGAAAACGTTGTGTAAACGTCTGCCCTCTATGTAATCTTCAATTATAAATGCCATCCTGACATGAACATTTGACTTGGATCCATCATTACATACTGGAAGATAACTGCTATATTTATGCCTGTGCTCATCAAAGAGTTGTCTGTAAACGATGTCGTTAGTGCTTCTCTTCACGTGATGGTTGAAAACATCAAGGAGCTGAATTCCTGAATTTTCCCAAGGTGGGATTTCAAAATTCTGCACTGCTTGAGGGCACATATGAGAGAGAGAAAGTTCCTCAATGACAGGGCGAACTCCTAAAGGAAAGGTAGGCACACAGGATGGACGTAATTCAAATAAAGTGTTACTCACATTATCAAGTAAGTACAGCTTATTAGTATGTTCAGGTTGCGATAGAATGTTAAAATATTGCAAAAGGGACAACTGCTCACGCCTCAGATAGTAGAGTGATGGTTCGTTAGAGTCAACATACAGGCTCTGGACAGGAGAATTCCTCAAACTGAAAGCTCCTGAACAAATCTGCAGGGCTTGATGGTGAACAGGATCTAGTTTTAACAATACTGATGACCGAGTGGATCCGTAAACAACTGAGCCATAGTCTAGTCTAGAGCGGACAAGTGCTCTGTAAATGCGAAGCATAGAGCAAAGCTCTGCACCCCAGGAGGTGTTCGCCAACACTTAAAATATTTAGTGTTTTTAAACACTTCTTTCTCAGGTTTAAAACATGAGAAAGGAAAGTCAATTTTTGGTCGAACGTCACACCTAAAATTTTTACTTCAGGTGCAACTGGAATAATTATACCATTCACAGAGTTGCCAACTCTCCCGATTTAGGCGGGAGACTCCCGATTTTCGACCGCTCTCCCGCCAACCCGATTTACAATATATTTCTCACGATTTTTATGGAACTTGGCTTAATACTTCGTTACATGAACAACAACAACAACAACAACAACAAAAAAAAAAAAAAAAAAAAAAACAAAAAAAAAAAAGTGATTTTGAACGTCTGAAAGCAACTGAATTTTCTTTAGATTATATCTAAAATGAAACCTTGCGAATCAGATGAGAATTTCTGCTTTGTGATTGACAGCATGCGTATCCAGAAACGTCGTTCTCCAGTTGTCCAATGGGCATCGAGCTCCACTGCGTGTCATCTGGCATATATTAGGCAATGAGCTCAAAGCAAGCTCAAGGCCGTTGGCCGTTCTTTTGATGTTCTTTCGCTATTTCGTTCATCTTGTCCTGAGTTGTGTGAGTACACGTGCCTTTAGGAAATAGTTTTAGAAAATTATCGTCTTTGATTGTCTGCGA